TTTTTGATTAAGGATAATTTTCTCGATATTTGAAGACATATTTTTGCATTAACAATGATAGTACTGAAATCATTTTATTATGCCTTATAGATGACAGATTTCAAGAGATTAAGCTAAGCAGGGCCTTATGCTTTCAAAAATTTGCATAACTGTAGATATACATCGGTTGGATAGTTGATCCTGAGCGAACTAGTGAGTTGTAGAAGCGTCACTGATGTAATACATAATTTCAGGATGTATCTCAAAGTTTGTGCTCTGATTGCACTGCTTGAAGCAGTTATTCAAACAGTGGAATCAGGTGCGTGTTGCTGTTCACCAGCATGTCGAGGAGCTATCATGCCTGGTTACCAGCAGAGGCCGGTCCAAATGCAAGCACCTTATTGTCCTATTCCCAAGTGTCCGCCACCAAAATGTCCTCCAATACGTCAGTGTCCGTTACCGCAACGACCACGCCCTTGTCCGCAATATCCACCTCCAAAACCTTGTCCACCACCTCCTCCACGACCACCTTGTCTGCAACGGCAATGTCCCCGTCCGCTACCATGCCCTGAAAAAATATGTCCAGTGCCAAATTGTCCGCCACCACCATTACCACCCCCTTGTCCTGAAAAACTCTGTCCGCCCGCACCACCTTGTCCACCACAGGTTTGTCCCCCACCTCCGCCACCAGTACCTTGCCCACCTCCCCCACCAGAAAGACCTTGTCCACCGCCTCTACCACCACCACCCTGTCCACCTCAGACATGTCCACCTCCTCCTCCTCAAAGACCTTGCCCACCCCCTCCACCACCACCACCCTGTCCACCTCAGACATGTCCGCCTCCTCCTCCTCAAAGACCTTGCCCACCACCGATCCCACAAAAGCCTTGTCCACTACCACTACCACCACCACCATGCCCACCCCCTCCTATACAACAACCTTGTCCACCACCTCCACCACAAAAACCATGTCCACCGCCACCACCTCAAGTGCCTTGTCCCCCGCCGCCTCCTCCACCTCCACCACCTCCTCCTTGTCCTAGAATTTCCTGCCCTGAACCTCCACCACCAATAGTTTGCCCCGTGATATCGTGCCCACCTGCTCCACCACCACAATCTTGTCCACCTCCACCACAAATGTCTTGTCCAACAATTAATTCATTAGAGCAAGTAGGAAGCATAGATGGTGCATATGTTGCAAAAATACCAGATTTCACTGAAAAAGATGCAGGCTGC